ACAGCAGTACTATGAGAAGGTGATATCTCCTGTGGTTTTGATTATCTTTTCCTGAAGACTTCCATCATCTAATATTTCAGAACTACCTGGTGCACACTTGATGTCCAGATTTGCTGACAGTCCTTTACTATGTGCTTTAGCTATTCTACCAGGAGAATAATGACCCAAGCACGGGTTTGTCCTAATCCATAAGCAATATGTGGTTCAGAATGAGCTGGAAGAGTGTATGCAGAGGGTGATCTGTCTTCTAGGGTTATTGTAGTCTCCACATAACTTTTCTGCAGCCACTAGTTTATGGACAGGCTCTGTAGGATTCTGCCTGGCTCTTGGAAGAATAACCACAAAGGAACAACTGCCAGGCATTCATAATACATTCTGTTGCTACCTGCTATTTCTTTCCCCACAAAGTATGTGTGTGTTAAATTTTGCTTTCTGGCTTTGGAGGCTGAATGGTGTGGGAAGTCCTGTGGAGAGTTTGTTCTCCACCAACACACGGTTCAGACACGTTGTAATTTTGTAACCACAAAAAAATCTGTCATTGATGTAAGGTGTGTTTGTCCCATGGCTACAAAGGTTCCCACATGACTCTATGGCAGTTCAAGAGGCTCCATCTGTAAGCTCTGCCCTAAGCACAGGGACATCATTACCTGTCTGTTATATCTCATTGAATTGTGGCAAACACCAAAAACAAGGGAAGATTCTCTGTTAGCTCCACCCAAGAGGTAGAGTTTTCCTCTCTCTTCAGGTCATAGGGAGTTGGGAAGGGTGGTGGTGACAGTCCATGGCTGGTAGGTCAATGGTATTCCAGAAGGTAAATATGCAGACGCGCAAAGGGAATGGGGCAATGGAGTGTTTTCATGCCTAGCTCAGTACTGGTTTAGAGTCCAAGGCATTGACTTCACCTTCTCCCGAATGTATCCACTGATCCTGGATAACTATAGGGAAGTAGATGTGATGGAGAGAAGCCTTGATCTTTACATCTTGAATGTAACTTTTCTTTTTATTATACCTCAGTTGGACATTATGGATTCTCACTTGGCTCCTTTAGTTCTTGAACTTGGTCCAAGGATGCCTAATCAAATCGGGTGTCTGTGGGAATACGACCACTGGGGAACCTTTTTGGACACTCTTTGAAAAGCTATCTGAATAAGTCACAAATTACCAACCATTGTAGCACAGATTCATAAAATGTTAAAAGTATTAATCACAAACACAAAACACACCTAATTCAGAACATACCTCTGAAATATTTGATCAAGTCTTTGCATTCCTTCTACTCTTCCCTCTTCTTTTCATTTTTAAAATGTTGGATTCAAATTTCTCTATGGGTTAAAGCAAGGTAGATACTTATGATAGTGGTAATACAACTATTTTCTTTATTTTTGTTGTCAGAGCCCAGCATGCCACAGAGGTATCTCTCTAGAGGATTCTCTTCATGAGTGCTACTTCCTTGAAAGTAGAGGTAATCATGAAGGCTGACTGACTGATTAGAACTGACACACTCCCATCAAATCTGCCTTGCAAACCTCAAAACCTTGCATCCCACTACACACTGTCATTTCAGGGTGGCAGGGAGGTTTGCTCTGGTTGCTTATGTAATATATACCATTACCTATGTGACTGAGGGGAAGTGAGCAGGAGTCTTTGTGGCCCTCCTGGACCACACAGATCAGGCCCAAACCTCCTTGGTGACCTCAGCTCTTCTCAGAATGTGGGGCCTCACCATAGGACATCTGTGGTAACAGATGCCACATGAACTATGCAAGTGTGCCCACCTCCCCACACTGCGGAGCACCTGCTGGCTCACCTGAAATTATCATGTGCAATGAAAAAGTCTGTTTTTCTCTTCTTATTTTCTAATCCTGTTGCACAACTGAAAAAAAAATCACTGTGATTTTTGTTTATAACTATTTATATATCTACATTTGCCCTAGGGAAAAATATTCTGCTGTCCAAGTGATAAAATAATAATATTGAGTCCAAGTTTGTTTAGTAAATGTATGTTTTCAGAAAAAGAGAACTTCAGTGTTATGAAGAGTCTAGAATGTTGCAAGTCTATAATCAAATGACCTCAGACCTTCTCAGCTTCCTTTGCAACCATTTTTCCCAACTCTTTATATGGCCTTTCATCTTTGTGACTACTAGGCAATCTTTTTGAATGTATAAACAGATCCCTAGCTTCTACCAACTAAAAATACTAAGAATGTCAGATAGTATCTGAGGCCTGTTCCTGAGATTTCTCCATAATAATCGCCTTAACTAATGCTTCCAAAGACAATTTGACAAATGTATTCCGTTATGATTTTCTTTGAAATTGTTCCCATGTTGGAACAAGGTATTGGTGGAAACATCCCAGTTTTCCCAGTCATGGTCCCTCACATTTGGCTCCAGAATAAACTCTTTCTTTTTATTCCTTTGAGTGAGAGCTATTTCTTAGATATAGAAGAGGGTCTATTTCAGAAGAGAAATATGACTAGGAGTCAGAATAAAGAGGCACCACCATGGCAAAAAAGGGGTGTTTAATGTCACAGTCATAATATACTTGAATAAAAATGGCATTATGAAATACAGTCAATCATGTAATGAATATGTACTAGTAAGATCTACATGAACAGCCTGGACATGAGTGGGGGTAATGAAGGGTGAGGGACAAGGGAAAGAGAGCTTGGGGCATCAGGAGATCCCAGGTGGATCAACAACAGAGAGGGAGAAGAAGGAATAGGAGACCATGGTAAATGAAGACCACATGAGAATAGGAAGAAGCAGGGTGCTAGAGAGGCCCACAGAAATCCACAAAGATACCCCCACAACAGACTGCTGGCAATGGTCGAGAGACAGTCCAAACTGACCTTACTCTGATGATGGGATGGCCAAACACCCTAATTGTCATGCTAGAAACCCCATCCAATGACTGAGGGATCTGGATGCAGAGATCCACGGGCTAGGCCCCGGGTGGAGCTCCCGGAGTCCAATTAGCTTCCGAAAGAGGAGGGTTTATATGAGCGAGAATTGTTGAGACCAAGGTTGGATAAAGCACAGGGACAAATAGCCAAACGAATGGAAACACATGAACTATGAACCAATGGCTGAGGGGTCCCCACTGGATCAGGCCCTCTGAATGGGTGAGACAGTTGATTGGCTTGATCTGTTTGGGAGGCATCCAGGCAGTGGGACCGGGTCCTGTGCTCATTGCATGAGTTGGCTGTTTGAAACCTGGGGCCTATGCAGGGTCGCTTGGCTCGGCCTGGGAGGAGGGGACTGGACCTGCCTGGACTGAGTCTACCAGGTTGATCTCAGTCCTTGGGGGAGGCTTTGCCCTGGAGGAGGTGGGAATGGGGGGTGGGCTGGGGGAAGGTGAGGGGGGTGGGAGGGGGGAGAACAAGGGAATCCATGGCTGATATGTAGAACTGAATTGTATTGCAAAATAAAAAAAAAAAAAAGCAAAATGTAGACCAGGTGAGCACAGACACCCATCTCTCCCTAAGTTTTCTTTGATTCTTATATTCTATAAAAGGAAATGTTGGTCCAAAGCATCATACTGACTTAGAAATGTGCCAGAACAAGTATTACTACAGGCATGAAAAGAAATCTACTGAGACTGTTTCATTCAAATACATCCTTTGGGATTTTAGAGCAATAAGATTTGGGCAACAAAATATTGCTTGCGTCATTGTAAATAATGAGGATAACCACAATCTTGGGTTATCAAAGTTTTCTTAGCTCCCTTTGCAGCTATTTTTGTAGTCTTTGAACCAGATTACAAAACTTGAGCAAACTTTTCTGACTTCTATGTTAATACAATGATGATATAATTATTAACTAGATTCATGTTTACTGTGAATGGTAGTGATTATGATCTATCAGTATAATGCCACAGTGCATAGTCAAGAAATTGTGATGGACATAATTAAACTGAAAGCTTTTGTAAAAGGAAGGGTGTCAAATGCAAGAGGTGGGTTAAGTTACAAGTGAGGTTAGACTCAGGCATTTGAATACTTGGTGCCTACTTGGGTGTGCTGTTTGGTGAGGTTTTGTTGATGTCAATTATTGTTATTGTCTCTATAGACTATTGTGCTTATCTAGGTTTACATCAGCACTGGTGAGACAGGGAGAAGTCTATACTTTTCTTTAAGAATGTATGGTAAAGCCAGGGAAGTAAATATGCCCATTACATGGTCACTTTGATTTCTAAATTCTTCCAGCTATGAACAGTGAGACACTGACAGTTCTATCTGGCCCATTACCTTGAAAAAAAGGTCTTTCACAATTGAACTACATAACACTGAAAAAAAAAACAACTTTCTTCAGCTAAAAGCTTAACGTATATTTTCTGATTCCAAATGTGTGAGTGATAGTTTTTTTTGTTATCTTAGTTTTATAAATGGCCAAAGAGTAAAATAAGGAGCTGTAAGGTTTATATTGTTGAGCAAAATATGTCCAAATGTTTAATACAGCAAAGAAATATTTTAGATATGCATGACCATGGTGGTGCATAAATATATCTAGCCATTGGCACAATGTAGCAGAATTGTCAGTTTGAGGTCACCCAATGCTACATAGTAAGACTTTGTTTAAAAAAAAGTATATTTCTTAGAATATACAAACTATCCATAAGTCATAAATTCCCACCCAGTCACTGGTTACTAACCTGAGAATAGAAAGGTTGAGGAGTTTTCTTCCATCTCAAAATTAATCTATTGCTTCTCAAGAATAGTTGCACATTATAAATATGTTTGTTTATTTTTATTAGCACTATTTGGACACCAGTCAGTACCATTAAACCAGAAATTCAGATGGGTACCCTGTAAAGAAGGACAAGGGTAAAGATATTCTTATTTTTCTCTATCAAAAGCACAAAGTGTACTTGAGAAAGAGATTAAAGGTTATCTGATTGATCAGTCAATGACGTTTCAATGAGGAACAAACATGTTGATTCAGTAGGTAGTGTTATAAAAGCTCCATGCTGGCTGATCACAGCTGTGTCAGTGAGAAGGGTGTCCATGGAGCCAGTCCTGATCCTGGTGCTCAGTCTTTCCTGTCTGCTTCTCCTCTCACTCTGGAGACAGAGCTCTGAGAGAAGCAAGCTCCCTCCTGGCCCCACTCCTCTCCCAATTATTGGCAATTTCCTCCAGATAGATGCAAAGAACATCAGCCAATCCTTGACTAATGTAAGTATTCTTTGTGCTCCTCCAATACCTTGAGAAAGAAGATAAATTGAAAGCTACTTTAAATGAAAAGCTAGTAGAAGAGGAAATGTTGCTGTAAATAATCCTACAGTCAAAACTCTTGCAGTGTATTGTGTACCTCATGACTTTTACAGTTGTATCTTGTCAGGAATTCAGTAATGAACAAGGATTCAGGTGAAAAGATATTCATTTAATTGTATTTTATAAAAAGAAAAAAATGCCACAAAATTGCAAAATTTGTGAATATTTCTGATCTTAAAAAAAAAAAAAAAACAACACCCCCAAAGCAGCCTTTTCCATTATTTTTGGTTGAAGGTCAATAGTGAGTAATATTTTATTCAATTACTCAGGTAGAACTTTGGACATGTATTTTCACTGAGGTTTTCCATTTGATGCTGGACTCTAAAGAACAAACTGATGCCTAATTGAACTAAATACCAATAGACATGGAATAAAACAAGACATGTAAGAAAGAACCCAAAATGTCAGCGTATCTGGTCATATTTATATCCAGTCTTAATTTTTGCAAAACCTAAGTCTGGGGCTAAGAACGCTGCCAGAGAAGGGCCTGTTTTTCCAGGAAATATCGCATGCCTGTGGTGCAGCTTTCGTAGTGTCCACTCTCTGTGTTTGTAGTAGCAGTTGCCAAGTCTGGACTGCTCAACAGAATCATTTGTGATGACTTACAAGTTTACATTTCAAAACTAGCTTTTTTGCTGTATTTCTGCATCATTTCATCTATTTCATTGGTCTACTTGTGAGTCTATTTTTTGTGATTATCAGACTGTGTATATCACTATAGCTATATAATATAATTTGAGGTCCAATATTGATACACCTCCAACAGTGTTTTTACTCCTTAGGAGTGCCTTGACTATTCTTGGTTCTTTGTGGCCCCTTATGCAGTCTTCTGTTGTTTTTCTAAACCTGTAAATATGGCATCACTGTAAATAAAGAAGTATGTGTTTAGTAGTATGAGTGTTTTGTTACTTGGTTTCTGTTTCTTCTCTGGTTTTCTGGCTGGAGTGGCCTGTGTTTGACAAGAGAGTCTCCACACCTATAGGCTGGATCTGTAGGTCAGAGGAGAGTGGCCTCTGTTCAAACAGGGCATTTCTGTCGGAGTTGGGGCACTGGCACATGGTAGGTAGGTTGGGAGGAGTGATTGTGGGTAGGATGTGTAGGCACTGAGAGAGTGGGGCAGTCAGTAGGCAGGTGGGTGGCCTACATGGAGTTCTGGTGTGAAAATTCGTTGTAATCCTTATATAACAAATACCTGAGCTCTGAGCCATGACAAGGTTCACTGTAGGTGATCAAGAACTATAATAACCATAATGTGATAAAAATGGGCTTCAGAACCATTTGAAGCTGAGTTGCCGGAATAAAAATATATTAAAATACCAATAAGACACTGATAATATCAGTGTGAATGAGGTTGACTCCATAGAGATTAAAGCAACTTTTTTGATTATATTTACATTTTTTCTTTCCCATTTCCAGCTTTCAAAAGTCTATGGCCCTGTGTTCACCTTGTACTTGGGCAGGAAGCCCACTGTGGTGTTGCATGGGTATGAAGCAGTGAAGGAAGCTCTGATTGATCATGGGGAGGAGTTTGCTGGAAGAGGAAGATTTCCAATGGCTGAAAAAATTACTAAAGGCCTTGGTAAGTAGTTGTACACATTCATGTGAGTGCTGCACAGTGTTCACAGTGGAAGTGAAGATGAAAGGAGGAGTGGACTTCTTCCTTAGGTACACTTTGGACCTCTCTGTGGTTTCCACCCATCAGATCTCTCATCTTTTCCTAGAGTCTCTTTCTAGTGTTTTACCATTTCTTTTAGGCATTATTTTTAGCAATGGAAGCAGATGGAAAGAGATAAGGCGCTTCTCACTCATGACTCTGCGGAATTTGGGCATGGGTAAAAGGACCATTGAGGACCGTGTTCAAGAGGAAGCACAGTGTCTTGTGGAGGAACTGAGGAAAGCTAAGGGTAAGTGAAGGTTTATACATTTACAACTTTGTCTAGGTATGTGTGTATGTCATGTTGATCACTCTATCCTAAAGTTTTCTTTGTTTTTAAATCAGAAACAAAGAACATAAGTTACATGTTAATTTTCTGCTGAGCTGCAGAACTATGCATTTCCATTAGTACAAGTGTAATTTCTCTTTGTGGATCATTTCACTTCTGAATAAGTGCTATTGATAATGGTGACAGAGCCCAATTAGGATATTTGTTTTCATTTTCTTGGATTACAGAGGTTTAAGGAAATTAACTGGGCAGTACAGGTATTCTTCTAGGCCAATGTTTACAGTATAGGGTAACAATGATGTGATTTATGGCTTTCATTTTTTAGCCGAGTGTAATAGAATATTAATCAATTATTGTGTCTGCAATAGCATGTTATCAAAATTGTATTGTTATTTGTTTAAAATTTTTTACTCAGTTGTGAAACTTATACAATGTATTTTGATTGTGATCAGCCATCAACTCCTCCGAGATACACTTCCACTTTTATCTACCATGCTTTTTGTTGTCCCTTTATTTAATATCCACCAAAACTAACCTGTGCTTGACATATGTGATTGTTTAAGAAAAATTTTGTTAGTACTTTCAGAATTTAGTACTTGTTTTAAAATGTTTAAATTGAAATAGAATTACATAATTCCCCGCTCTTTCTCCTTCTATCCCTTCCCAAATGCCCTCTCTTGTCCCTCCTCATGCCTTTTACACTATCAAGTTGATAGTCTCTTTTTCTTTATTATTGTGCATATGTATACACATGCACACATACATGTAAAACCTCTTGAGTACTCTTTGTTGTTAGATATCAAATATATGATTACAGGCCTGACCACTCTGCACTTGGACCACCAACAAAAGAGTTTAAGCTTTGGAGAGGATAATTATCCTTATCCTAGGAGTCATTAGTTGTGTGGAGTTCCCTGTCTTGTGATAGGACTCTGAAAATTTTCCCTTTCCACATTAGCACATCTATTGATTTTGCCATTTTTCCAGTCTTCTTTTTGCAATCACATCTAGGTGAGACTGTTTTATAGTAGACTTCTTGATATTCTGGTTCTTACAATCTTTCTGCCTCCTCTTCTGTTATGTTTCCTGAATCATAGATGCAGGAGTTGTGATGAATTTGTGTCTGTTGAGGCTGGGATCCCCACAATCTGTTCGTGTCTGCATTATATCCAGTTGTGACTTTCTAGGATGGACTCTATTTGCTGTAAAAAGAGATCTTTTTAATAAGAGATGGTAGCTACACTTACCTATGCTAACAAGGATATGACTTAGAATGTAGTAAAAAAAATTATGCTGGTCAAGCAGACCATATAGTGGATTCTTTTATAAGGCCCATCACTTCACTAGCCCCACAAAGTTGTCTTATTTTTTATTATATTCATCCTCTCTCCTCCAATTCTTCCCACATGTAACCACTTTTTTCTTCATGACCATTTTTTTCTTTCCACAAAGGCCAATTTGTGCTGTTCAAATATTCTTGTATGTGACTTTCTACCAAAGTATCAGGGTGGATTTATCAGGGTCTGTACTCTTAGAGAAAATTGACCCTTCCTCTTCCAAAAGCTAATATTTGCCAATAACATCTCCATTAGGAGTAGAACATCATGCCCAACTTCCATCTTCATGCTAGGATTTTTTTTCTGGCTTTGGCTTGCACAGGTCTTGTTCATAGTGTCATATTTTCTGTGAGTTCATATGTGCATCTGCCCTGCTGTGCCCAGAAGACATCATTTCCTTGTAGTCATCCACCACCTCTGGCTCTTACCCTCTTTCTGCCCCCTCTTCTTGAGTGATCCTTGAGTCTTTCCAGGAAAGGGTGCAGTACATAATTTATATTTAAGGATGAACACTTTGCAATCTCTTATTCTTTGCACCTTTGCCCTTTGTAGCCTCTGTGTTCATCATCATCTACTGTAAACAGAAGCTTCTTTGATGGTGGTTGAGAAATACCTTGTATGTGTGGTTTTCATCTGGATTTTGTTTGACTTACTAGGGGATACACTCTTAAAGAAAACTGGTTCACCTTGTCTCAAGAGCTAAGTACAGCCAGTAGCTTCTTGACTCTTGGTGTGATTTGTACCCACTTCCCCTCTCCATACTGTGATTTGATCTCACTTAAACTTACATGGGTCTTGTGAATGTTGAAACAACTCCTTTAAATTGACATGTGCAGCTGCCTTGATGTGTTCATGAGACACTGTTTCCTTTTCATCACCCACCACCCCTGCCTTTTTCTGTCCCTTCTTCCATAATGATTGCTAAGCCTTTAGGAAGAAGCAGTGAGTTACAGATGTCCCATTTATGGCTGAGCATACCATAGTCTTGTTTTGCTCTGTGCCTTGAGTGGCTGTGGGTCTCTGTGTTAATCACTATCTACTGCAAATAGGAGTTTGACTGATATGGGTTGAGAGATGCATGAATCAATAGATATCACTGTAATTTATTTGGAATTGATTAATACTATGCAATTCAGCAGAGTGATAGTAGATTCTCCCCCAAGGTTGATGATATATCTAGGCAAAGGGCCTTGACCTGATAATGGTGCCAAGTACGGGATTTATCTCATGGAACAGGCTTAATCCAAAAAATGATGTTGTTTGTAACTTCCACAGTGTTTATGCTCACGGTTGTACAAGTTAATATGTCTTGGCAGGCAAGTTGTTATTGTAACTTGGAGAGTTTATAGCTGAGTGATATTGATCATTACTTTTCTCTTCTGGTAGCCCACATAACACCTTCCAGCACTATGCAAGCTCTCCTATATCAAAAATTTTAGAAATCTAAAATTAATAACTTAATTATGCAACAAAAAAATCTTCACAAAAGTGAACAAATAATACCATAAGAAGTTAGATAGGAAGAAGGCTGAGTGTGGCAGTGCATGCTTTCAATCCTAGCACTCAGGAGTCAGGGACAGGTAGATAACTGTGAATCCAAGGCCAGCCTGGTCTACATAATAAATTCCTGGAAATCAGGACTGTGCTTTTCTCACATCAAAAAAATAAAGAGAAAGTAACAGGAGGAAATAATAAAAATCGAGGATGAAATAAATTAATGATGTAAAAACAAACAAACAAAAATGCAGAGAATCAATGAAGAGTTGATTCTATGAAAAGATTAACCAGATTTTTAAAAATTTCAAATTTAACCAAAAGAGAGAGATGGACCAAATCACTAAAACTGCAGATAAAGTGGGAGATAATACAACACACATGGTTTCTCTGTGTAGTTCTGACTGTCCTGGAACTTACTCTATAGACCAGTTTGGCCTCAGACTCACAGAGTTCCATCTGTCTCTGCCTCCCAAGTGCTGGGATTAAAGGTGTGTGCCACCACTTCCCATGTCAGGTAGTGCCATGAGATCTGACATGCTCCCCTAGCCACCTCTCATAAAACACACACACACACACACACACACACACACACACACACACACACACACACACACACTCACACGCACTTGAACACATGCATACAAATAACAAAATCTAGAAAAAGAAATTTTCTTATGTGTTTTTGACCTGTAATATACATATATGTGATACACAATTTTTTTTTCATTTTTCTTTATTAAGAAATTTTCTACTCACTCCACATACTATCCACAGATCCCACCTTCTCCCTCCTCCCTCCTCCCACCCCCAGCCCTCTTTCCTAAGCCACCCCGCATCCCCACATCCCCCAAATCGAGGTCTCCCATGGGGAGTCAGCAGAGCCCAGCACACTGAACCTAGGCAGGTCCAAGCCTGTTCCCAGTGCATCAAGGCTGTGCAAGGTGTCACACCACAGGCACCATGTTCCAGAAGGCTGCCCATAGACCAGGGACAGATCTCGATCTCCCTGCCTGGGTGCCCCCCAAACAGTTTGAGCCAAACAACCATCTTAAGTGTCCAGAGGGCCTAGTCCAGTCCCATGGGGGCTCCACAGCCACCAGTTCACAGTTCATGGGCTTCCACTAGTGTGGCTGGTCATCTCTGCACATCCTCCCATCATGATCTCGACATCCCTCACCTGCAGTATCACTCCTCTCTCTCATCAGTTGGATTCCCAGAGTTCAACCTGGTGCCTGGCTCTGTATCTGCCTCCCCCAGTCACTGGACAAAGGCTCTATGATGACAGCTAGGTTATTTGCTATGCTGGTCACCAGAGTAGACTGGTCCAGGCACCCTCTGGACCACTGCCAGCAGACCAAGGTGGGGTCAACCTTGTGGATTCCTGAGAGCCTCCCCAGCACCCTGCCTCTTCCTATTCCCATGATGTCCTCATTTATCTTGGGTGATACACAAATTTTAAGCATTATATCAGCATAGTAATTTGATAACAGCAATTGGAAAATGTTTACAAATCTAAAAACCACACTTTTGTGCTAATATGCTGTGTAGAGTTTGATTGAATGTAGTCATCGTTTACTTCTTTTAAAAAATAAGGAAAGCTTGACATCTTCCTTTCCAATTTGTATCCATTAATCTCCTTATGTTGTCTTATTGCTCTGGCTAGAACTTCAAGTACTATATTGAATAAATATGGGGAGAGTGGACAGCCTTGCCTTGTTCCTGATTTTAGTGGAATCGCTTTGAGTTTCTCTCCATTTAATTTGATGTTGGCTGTTGGCTTGCTGTAATTGCCTTTATTATGTTTAGATATGTTCCCTGTATTCCTGATCTCTCCAAGGCCTTTATTATGAAGGGGTGTTGGGTTTTGTCAAATGCCTTTTCTGCATCTAGTGAGATGTTCATGTGGTTTTTTTCTTTGAGTTTGTTTATATGGTGTATTACATTTACAGACTTTTTGTATGTTGAGCCATTCTTGCATCCCTGGGATGAAGCTTACTTGATCATGGTGAATAATTGTTTTGCTAGGTTCTTGGAGTCTGTTTGCCAGTATTTTATTGAGTATTTTTGCATCAATGTTCATGAGGGAGATCAGTCTGTAGTTCTCTTTCTTTGTTGCATCTTTGTTTAGTTTAGGAATCAGGGTAATTGTAGCCTCACAGAAGGAGTTTGGTAATGTTCCTTCTGTTTCTATTGTGTGGAATAATTTAAAGAGTATTGGTATTAACTCTTCTTTGAAGATCTGGTAGAATTCTGTGCTGAAACCATCTGGTCCTGGGCTTTTTTTTTTGTTGGGAGACTTTTAATGACTGATTCTATTTCCTTAGGGGTTATTGGACTATTTAAATAGCTTATCTGGTCTTGATTTAACTTAGGTATGTGGTACCTATCCAGAAAATTATCCATTTCTTTTAGATTTTCCAGTTTTGTGGAGTAGAGGTTTTTAAAATATGATCTGATGATTCTCTGGATTTTCTCAATGTCTGTTGTTATGTCCCCCTTTTCATTTCTGATTTTGTTAATTTGAATGCTCTCTGTGGGAAAAGGTCTTCACCAACCCCACATCTGACAGAGGGCTGATATCCAGAATATATAAAAAACTCAAGAAATTAGACATCAAAATGCCCAGCAGTCCAATTAAGAAATGGGCTATAGAGCTAAACAGAGAATTCTCAACAGAGGAAGCTCAAATGGCTGAAAGACATTTAAGGAATTGCTCAACATCCCTAGTCATCAGGGAAATACAAATAAAAAACCTCTGATATACCACCTTACACCTGTCAGAATGGCTAAGATCAAAAACACTGAAGACACCTTATGCTGGAGAGGATGTGGAGCAAGGGGAACTCTCCTCCACTGCTGGTGGGAATGCAAGCTTGTACAGCCACTTAGAAAATCAATATGGCACTTTCATAGAAAATTGGTAATCAATCTCCCCCAAGACCCAGCTATATCACTCTTGGGCATATACCCAAAGAATGCTCAATCAAACCACAAGGGCACTTGCTGTGGGATGGTCTGTATGTCAAATGTGTTGCTGATTGGTCAATAAATAAATCACTGATCGGTCAGTGGCCAGGCAGGGAGTATAGGCGGGACAAGGAGGAGAAAAAACTGGGAAGTGGAAGGCTGAGTCAGAGAGACACTGCCAGCCGCCATGATGAGAAACAACATGCAAAGATGCCGGCAAGCCACGAGCCATGTGGCAAGGTATAGATTTATAGAAATGGATTAATTTAAGCTGCAAGAACAGTTAGCAAGAAGCCTACCACGGCCATACAGTTTGTAAGCAATATAAGTCTCTGTGTTTACTTGGTCGGGTCTGACGGCTGTGTGACTGGTGGGTGAAAGAGATTTGTCCTGACTGTGGGTCAGGCAGGAAAACTCTAGCTACAGGCACTTGCTCAGCTATGTTCATATCAGCATTGTTTGTAATAGCCAGAACCTGGAAACAACCTAGATACCTTCAACTGAAGAATGGATAAATAAAATATGGTACATATACACAATGGAATACTACTCAGCAGAAAGAAACAATGATATCATGAGGTTTGCAGGCAAATGGATGGATCTAGAAAAAATCATCCTGAGTGAGGTAACTCAGACTCAGAAAGACAAACATGGCATGTACTCACTCATAGGAGGATACTAGATGTAAAACAAAGATGACTAGACTGCTACTCACAACTCTAGGGAGGCTAACTAGAAAACAGGATGCTAAGAAAGACACAGGGATCACCCAATGACAGAGAAATGAATGAGATCTACATGAACAACCTGGACATGAGTGGGGGTAATGAAGGGCAAGGTTTGAGGGAAAGTGAGCTTAGGCGAGCAGGAGATCCCAGCTGGATCAAGAACAGAGAGAGAGAACAAGGAATAAGAGACTATGATAAATGAAGACCACATGAGAATAGGAAGAAGCAAATTGCTAGAGAGGTCCCCAGAAATCCACAAAGATACCTCCACAACAGACTACTGGCAGTGGTTAAGAGAAAGCCCGAACTGACCTACTCTGGTGATAGGATGGCCAAACACCCTAACTGTCGTGCTAGAAATCTCATCCAATGACTGAGGAAACCAGATGCAAAGATCCATGGGCAGGCCACAGATGGAGCTCCAGGAGTCCAATTGGCAAGAAAGAGTAGGGATTGTATGAGCTAGAATTGTTGAAACCAAGATTGGAAAAAGCACAGGGACAAATAGCGAAACTAATGGAAACACATGAACTATGAACCAATAGCTGAGGAGCCCCCAACTGGATCAGGCACTCTGGATAAGTAAGACAGTTGATTAGCTTGAACTGTTTGGGAGGCACCCAGGCAGTGGGACTGGGACCTGTCCTTAGTGCTGGCTGTTTGGAACCAGGGGCTTATGCAGGGATACTTTGCTCAGCCTGGGAGGAGGGGACTGGACTTGCTGCAGCTGAATCTACCAGGTTGAGCTGAATCCCCAGGGAAGTCTTTGCCCTGGAAGATGGGAATGGGGGGTGAGCTGAGGGGAAGGGGGGGAGGACAGGGGAATCCGTGGCTGATATGTAAAATTAAATTAAATTATAAAAATAAAATAATAATCATTATTGCTGCTAATACTGCATATTGTGTGGACTTCATAAAGACATTTCATAGCAGTGCAACATGTGCTTTGAACATGCTCAGCCACCATCACCTTTCTGGATTCCCCATTCCCATTTTTCCTATTGCATCCTCCCCCTACCCTTCTTTATTATACTTAAAAAGATCATTTATTTTTATTTTATATGTATAATTGTGGCCAGTGGCAGTTGGATGAGGACTTATACCAGGTACCTCAACTGGCTTTTTGGTGCCCATTGCCTATGATGGGATACCTTGACAGCCTTGAGGCACAGGCAAGGAGCTTGGTCCTGCCCCAACTTGGTATGCCAGCCTATGATGACTCCCCAAGGGAGGCCTTGCCCTTTATGATGAGTAAATAGGGGGTGGGGTGAGGAGGGGGTGGGGGATGGGGCAAGGGAAGGTGAGGGAAGGGGAACTGTGATTGGTATGTAAAAATAAAAAAATTTAAATAAAAAGATTTTATTTTAAATGTTGGCCTTCACATTCATGTGTGCACCACTTATGTGCCAGGTGTCACAGAAGTCAGAAAATTGTGTCAGACTCCCCTGGAACTGGGGGTTGCAGACTGTTATGAGCTACCAGGAGGGTGCTCAGAACTGAACTGTGTTCCCCTAAAACAACAGCAAGTACTCTGAGCACAGAGCTATCTGTCTAGCACTGACCTTGCTATACTTTTTGTCTACTTTTCAAATACTGCATTTACTTCCTATGGAGCAAAATGCATTGTTTTAAATGATGAAATGAGCAAAGGGAAGTCTCTATTATCACCTTCATGCTGTTTCCTCCTCTTGGAACTTAGCCGTAAAAAAAAAAAAGTTTTCATTTTATTTAGTAATGCAAACAAATCCACATGGGAGTGTCTGCTCTTGAGATTACACATTATTATCATGTGAGGAGGAGGAATTCTCCACATTTTTTCTTCTCATACCAGAACTTACCTGCTGTGTTGCCATTTCCTCCTTCCTTGGGTCAATACTTGCTTCCTTGGTTACTCATTGTGGCTGCAGATCTTCCAGGTGTACACTCCTCTATTTAAATCCAATGACAATTAGGAATTCCAGTGAGAAACAATTCTGTTCTGAATACTAGAAATTTAAGGTTTATAAAATATTTTGTATTCTTTCAAGTACCTGATAGATAAAAGTGTAAACATTGGTGAAACAGATATGATCTGTTCTTATTTAAGTAGTGAGGTTGAGGCCACCTCAAGATTAACATAAAAGTGATATGTGCATTCTATATATAACAAATGCTTAGCTGTTAGTAAAACTGTAGAAAAGACATGGTTAAAAACTTCTAAAGACTCTTTACCTGTTAACAAAAACAAAATGTCTTCTTTGTATATTTTAATATTATTTTTCTAATTGTTTCTAATTATCCAGGCTCACCCTGTGATCCCACATTCATCCTGAGCTGTGCTCCATGCAATGTCATCTGCTCCATTATTTTCCAGAATCGTTTTGATTATAAAGATCAGGATTTTCTTAACTTGATGAAAAAAATGGATGAGAATGTCAGGATTTTGAGCTCCCCCTGGTTGCAGGTGAAGTCAAGATCTTTTCCTTTTTAGAACATACATATAATCTTTCATTCTCATAGTTCAAATTCAATATAGACCAAGAAGTGAGGTGCCCAGATACTACGGTTCTGAATAATATATTATAGAAATTATATTTGGAAGTCAGGCCTAAACCTTTTGCTATACAAATAGCAAAACTGAAAGGCAGATGCCAGCTTGGCTCAAGATCCCTATCTATCTGATGTCCACAGAGCTGTTTATATAAAATATTATTGCACTCACATCTAGAAGTGTGTCCTGATGTTGGTCTAATTTTGTAGGTCTGCAATAATTTCCCTTCACTAATTGACTATTGTCCAGGAAGTCATCACACGGTATTTAAAAATGTTGATTATGTCAGAAGTTTTGTTTTGGAAAAAACAAAAGAACATCAGGAATCATTGAATGTTGCAAACCCTCGGGACTTTATTGATTATTACCTGATTAAACAAGAGCAGGTAAAATGTTATATTAATTTATTTTATTGTGTCAGTGCTGTGGGATGTTCTGTATGTCAAATGTGTTGCTGATTAGTCAATAATTAAAACACTGATTGGTCATTGGCTAGGCAGGAAGTGTAGGCGGGACAAGGAGGAGAATAAAGCTGGGAAGTGGAAGGCTGAGTCAGAGAGACACTGCCAGCCGCCACGATGACAAACAGCATGTGAAGATGCCGGTAAGCCACGAGCCATGTGGCAAGGTACAGACTTATAGAAATGGATTAATTTAAGCTGTAAGAACAGTTAGCAAGAAGCCTGCCACGGCCATACAGTTTGTAACCAATATAAGTCTCTGTGTTTACTTGGTCGGGTTTGAGCGGCTGTGGGACTGGCAGGTGAGAGATTTGTCCTGACTGTGGGCCAGGCAGGAAAACTCAACCTACATGTCAGTATTTTGTGGTTAACTGAACACTGAAATGTTTGTTAGAGATGATTTAAGTCAGTAGCAATTTAGTATGTATTGTGTGTTGGGATGCACCATTTGAATACTGATAAAAATAAAGGGAATTTGTTAACTAGAGCACATTCCCTCTGTTCTTTAAAAAGTGTAGCAGAAGAGAATATAATACAAAAGGCAGGTAAGATAGGAAAAAATACTAATCAAGTAGAAAATAATCAACTATCATGGCAGTGTGAAAATTGGCACCATGAATTCACATAGTATGGCTAGATTTCCTGTGTATCTAGTGGATTAAAAATGATCTGGCCATAGTGTTTATTTTGAAATGAAAGATCCAGGAGTTAATTTCAGAAGCACTGAGTGGTGTATGGATAGAGAGGTATGTGGTGGGAAAGAGTAGGTGTATGGAAGAGTAAGGCTTTGAGTATAAGTTCAAGTTAATTTTCCCCGAAATGGCTTAAAGATTGTTATCTATTGGGTATCCTTTCAGCATGATCTGCATTGGCATTGTGTAGTTTATTCAAAAGACAATTTTCCATTGCATTTCCTTGGGACTCAGTAAAAACAAGCTGACTCTAGATGTTTGGGTTTGGTTATGGGCATGGATTCTACTCCACTGATCCTAGATTGTCCTTTGCTAGCAGTCTACTACCCTGAGTTCTTCATTACTGGGACTGAGTAACAGTACTTAATATCCTGGCATCTGAGTCCCCTGATGTTGCTGCTTTCTTTTGATAGATTATTTTGTCTAGTTGGGCCTTTTAAATTTGTAAGATCCAGTTCATAAAGACCACTGAATGCAAAGTGATATCTCAGGGTTGTAACCATGTTTAACTTATAATATACATACACATATATATATAGTGTGATTACAAAACACTGCAACTACCACCTCCTTCTAGTTTGAAAGCATTCCATTACAATGAAGAAAAAAACACACCCACCTTTCCACACCATCTGTAGCAGTTCTTAGTGTGATTTCTCCATGTATAGATTTGCCTATGATGAATGGATCATCTAAACTGACTCAGTATGTGTGGCTTTCAATTTCTGCCTTGCACTTGCATAAAATCTTGGACATTTATCTAAGTTTATCTTGTTCAATACTTTCTTCTTTCTTTGCAACAAACTTCATTTTCACCCATTAATAGCAAAATGCACTTATTGCTCATAGAAGGATATATGTTTTATTTCTATCAGCTGTAGGTGTTCTCTGGTAGAATTTTTGAGGTCACTTATGTATACTATCATATCATCTGCAAGTAGTGAAATTTGACTTCTTCCTTTCCAATTTGTATGCCCTTGATCTCCTTTTGTTGTCTTATTGTTCTAGATAGAACTTCAAATTCTATGTTGAATAAGTATGGGGAGAGTGGACAGCCTTGCCTTGTTCCTGATTTTAGTGGAATCACTTTGAGGTTCTCTCCTTTTAATTTGAAGTTGGCTGTTGGCTTGATGTAAATTGCCTTTATTATGTTTAGGTATGTTCCCTGTATTCCTGATCTCTCCAAGGCTTTTATCATGAAGGGGTGTTGGATTTTGTCAAAGGCCTTTTCAGCATCTAATGAAATGATCATGTGGTTTTTTTCTTTCAGTTTGTTTATATGGTGTATTACATTGACAGACTTTCATATGTTGAAACATTCTTGCATCCCTGGGATGAAGCCTACTTGATCATAGTGAATAATGTTTTTGATATGTTCTTGGAGTCTGTGTGCCAATATTTTATTCAGTATTTTTGCATCAATGATCATGAGGGAGATTGGTCTGTAATTCTCTTTCTTTGTTGCATCTTTGTTTGGCTTGGGAATCAGAGTAATTGTACCCTCATAAAAAGAGTTTGGAATCATTCCTTCTGTTTCAATTGTGTGGAACAATTTGAAGAGTATTGGTATTAACTCTTCTTTGAAAATCTGGTAGAATTCTGCGTTGAAACCATCTGACTATTTCTATTTCCTTAGGGTTATTGGTCTATTTAAATAGTTTATCTGGTCTTGATTTAACTTTGTATGTGGTACCTGTCCAGAAAATTGTCCATTTCTTTTAGATTTTCCAATTTTGTGGAGTACAAGTGTTTGAAATATGACCTGATAATTCTCTGGATTTCCTCATTGTCAGTTGTTATTTCTGATTTTGTTAATTTGGATTCTCTCTCTCTCTCTCTCTCTCTCTCTCTCTCTCTCTCTCTCTCTCTATCTATCTATCTATCTATCTATCTGCTTTTTGGTTAATTTGGATAAGGGCTTGTCTATCTTGTTGATTTTCTCAACGAACCAACTCTTTGTTTCATTGATTCTTTGTATTGTTCTCTTTGTTTCTATTTTATTGATTTCAGCTCTCAATTATTTCCTGGCATCTATTCCACCTGGACTTAGCTTCTTCTCCTTCTAGAGTTTTCAGGTATGCTGTTAAGTCACTAGTGTGAGATGTCTCCAACTTCTTTATGTGGGTTAGTGCTATGAATTTTCTTCTTATCACTGCTTTCCTGGTGTCCCATAAGTTTGGGTATGTAGTTCATTCATTTTCATTGAACTCCAGAAAGTCTTAATTTCTTTCTTTATTACCTCCTTGACCCATTGATGATACAGTTGAGCATTATTCAGTTTCCATGAGATTATAGGTTTTCTGTAATTTTTGTTGTTGCTGAAATCTAACACTAAACCATGGTGGTCTGATAGAATACATGAGGTTATTTCAATTTTTTTTGTATCTGTTGAGATTTGCTTTGTGACTAAGCATGTGGTCGATTTTAGAGAAAGCTCAGCGGGGTGCTGAGAAGAAGTTATATTCTTTTTTGTTAGGGTGGAATGTTCTGTAGATATCAATTAAGTCCATTTGAGTCATAACATCAACTAGGTCGCTTATTTCTCTGTTAAGTTTCAAGCTGGCAGATCTGTCCAATGGTGAGAGTGGATTGTTGAAATCTCCCACTATTAGTGTGTGGGGTTTGATGTGTGATATATACTTTAGTAATGTTTCTTTTACAAATGTGGGTGCCCTTATATTTGGAGCATAAATGTTCAGAATTGAAACTTCATCTTGGTGGATCTTTCCTGTGATGAGTATATAATGTCCTTCTCAGGCTCTCTTGATTGTCTTTAGTTTGAAAACTATTTTATTAGATATTAGGATAGCTACCCTAGCTTTCTTCTTAGACCATTTGATTGGAAAGACTTTTCCCAGGCTTTTACTCTGAGGTAGGATCTGTCTTTGAATTTGAGGTGTGTTCTTGTATGCAGCAGGAAGATGGGTCCTGCTTTCATACCCATTCTGTTAGCCTGTGACTTTTTATAGGTGAATTAAGTCCAATGATATTAAGGATTATTAATGACCAGTGACTGTTAATTCCTGTTATCTTTTGGTGGTAGTGTATGTGTGTTTCTCTTCTTTGGGATTTACTGTTGTGGGGTTATATTGCCTATGTTTTCATGGGTGTATCTGACTTCCTTAGGTTGGAATTTTCCTTCTAGTGCTTTCTGTTGGGTTGGATTTGTGGATAGGTATTGTTTAAATCTGGTTTTGTCTTGAAATGTCTTGTTCACTCCGTCTATGGTGATTGAAAGTTTTGCTGGGTATACTAGTCTAGGGTGGCATCCATGGTCTCTTAGCATCTGCATTATATCTGTCCAGAACCTTCTGGCTTTCAAAGTCTCCATTGAGAATTCAGGTGCTATTCTAATGGGTATGCCTTTAAGGCACTTGGCCTTTTTCTTTTGCTACTCTTAGTATTCTTTCTTTATTTTGCATCTTTAATGTTTTAATTATGTTTAATGTTTAATTTTTACTTTTATATAAATATTATATATAAATATATAAATAAATAGTTTAATAATGTTTAATTATGTGGCGAGGGGACTTTTGGGGGAGTCTAGTCAATTTGGTGTTCTATAAGTATCTTATATCTTCATGGGTATTTCCTTCTTTAAGTTCCATGATTTTGTTGAATATATTTTCTGTGCCTTTGAGTTGGTATTCTTCTCCTTCTTCTTTCCTTATTATTCTTACATTTGGCCTTTTCATGGTGTCCCAGATTTCCTGGACATTTTGTGTTATGACTTTTTTGGCTTTGGTGTTTTCTTTGACTGATCAAACTATTTCCTCTATTGTATCCTCTACACTAGAGATTCTGTCTTCCATCTCTTGTACTCTGCTTGGTTATGCTTGCATCTGTGTTTCCTGTTCATTTACTCAGATTTTATATTACCAGCATTTCTTCTGTTTATGTCTTCTTCATTGTTTCTATTTCAATTTTCAGATGTTGAACTGTTTCCTTCTCACGTTTAATTGCTTTTTCATGGTTTTCTTTGCTTTCTTTAAGGAATTTATTGCTTTCTTCCAATTTTTGTTTGTCTTTTCCTCAATTTCGTTATTGATTTCTTCCAATTTTTTGTTTGCCTTTTCCTCAATTTATTTAACAGAAATTTTCATTTTTTCTTTAAAAGCCTCTAGCATCCTCATGAAGCTATTTTTAAGGTCACTTTCTTCTGCTTCTTCTACATTGTAATGTTCAGGTCTTGCTGTTGGAAGAGGGCTAGGTTCTGGTGATGCCATATTGCTC